ATGTGCGTAATATGTTTGTATGTGTTTGATGGCTACTGACGGTTGGTTCGGTATGGACTGTTGATTAACGTGTCTGACAGCCTGCACCGTCACCCGCGCCATTACCCCCGCCGTCATCCCGCGCCGTCACCCAAAGTTTTATCGGAACCAGACACCCCTCTGTTTGACCCCTTTTTGAATGCTAAGACCCAAAACTGCACACGCCCCATTCCTTAACAACATGGTAATTACCATTTTCAGCATGGCGGGGGTGTCCGGAGCACTTAAACACCTTTTATTTCGACGCCCATAAACACATATGCAATTAAACAAAAACGTTCTGCATCATCTGCAAGACGTATACCGAACCCCAGACAAATCCGTCCAGCCGATCGCGAGAAACAGCTGCTGACAGAAATGTTTCGAACCATAGTAAAACCTCCTCGCGGAAGGATATCTCCTTCCCCGGAGGTAACAATATGTTTTCCTTCGGTTAACATAACAAGAGACAAGAAAAAGCTTAAGTCTTACAAAGCAGTTGGTGGTGTTAGCAGGGCAGGTCGTCAGGTTCCAGGTGTCCTTCTTGTTGAGACAGTTGTCGTAGTCAGTACCTGTCCCCATACCTGTGCACGCGTAGCACTGTAGGGACGCCACATGGCCAACTGGAAGTACGGAAGCAGTCGGTGAAGGTTAGACATCCAGGTAATAAGATACACCCAAAAGCAGTTATTTATCAAGCAACTGGATATGATTTTGGAAACGTCAGACGTTTCAGGTAGCATCCACTACCTTTTGTCAGTAAAAAAATCAGTCTGTTCTTGTATGGGGGTAGAAAATGGCCCAACAACGGCAAAACCTTTTCTACCTGTGTGTTCATCCACTAACAGAGAGCTAGAGAATGGCGACAGTCTAGTACTCGCGGTATTACGAATGGGGCCTTAGTAATACATGTATTCAGAATGTCCCATTCTTTGTTTAGAATGTCTCATTCCTTGTTAAGAAGTTTAAGCAACTGCGGACTTCTGATTTTAAGATACAACTGTAGAAGAAGCGAAAGGACAATGAAGCAAGAATCGGTGACAGTGGCTGCATTTTGATGTATATCCAGATTGGCAAAACGACAACAGAAATTACTAGTCCCTGAACATGTTGAGGTAAAAGAATCAATATTTCGAATAAAACTTTCATGTAACATTCCTGTATTTTATCGTTTTCATTTGGGTAAGTCGTCAAAGTCACTATAATCACAGACCTTTCTGTGATATACTGCGGGACTACAAGTTTAACATGGATATGTAACATACAATAACATACAATATTCATAAAGTTACTTACCACAATAGATGAAGGCCACAAGAAGCAGACACGCAATAACCTTCATTTTGCTGGATCGAGTCCAAAGTTACTGAAGATGAGCTCTGAAAGATAAACCTTTTGTTATTCCGTATTTCTCGGCCAAAATTGAACTTTTTGTCTAAAATATTCTTATTTTAAGAATTTGAACAATTGCACCCATGGGGTAACCAGATGAAGAAACGATAAATTGAAATACATAATTGATTACCTAATGCCCAAAAGTGACAATCTATATCAATTTAACATTGTTATCATCGTCTATTGTACTGTGGTTTGAACAAAGGAAACTGTCGAATGCTTCAGGCCCTTCTATTCCAGTGATTGACAATGAAATAGCGTCATCAAAGGGACGGTCGGTGTAGATATATTCGGAGTTTAAGTATTTCTACAGTGTTAGT